ATTCGGCGCAGTTGTGCAGGACCTCCACCTCCAGCATCTTCACCTCCAAGATCATCTGAGACTAGCCACCCGGAAAGCTGCTGCAACAATTGGTTTGCATAACCAAAGAATTTCTGCACTAACTGTCAGAAACCGTCTCAGGGAAGCTCATCTGCATGCTCGTCTTCCTCATCGGGGTCTCGACCTGACTGCAGATTGTTGTCATAACTGACTTGAGTGGGCAAATAATAACAATAATTAATAATTCATTACATTTATATGCGCTTTTCTCGGCACTCAAAGCGCTTTACATAGAAAGGGGAATCTCCTCAACCACTACCAGTGTGCAGCATCCACCTGGATGATGCGACGGCAGCCATAGTGCGCCAGAACGCTCACCACACACCAGCTTACTGGTGGAGAGGAGACAGTGATGAAGCCAATTGGTATAGATGGGGATGATTAGGAGGCCATGATGGACAGAGGGCACTGGGCAAATTTGGCAAATTTCGAAAATACTCTTTCGAAAGACATCCTGGATTTTTTTAATGACCACAGAGAGTCAGGACCTCGGTTTGACATCTCATCCGAAGGACGGTGCTCTTTGACAGTATAGTATCCCCATTACTATACTGGGGCATTAGGACCCACACAGACCACAGGATGAGCACCCCCTGCTGGCGTCACTAACACCTCTTCCAGCAGCAACCAGGCTTTCTCAGAAGGTCTCCCATCCAGGTACTAACCAGGCTCAGCCCTGCTTAGCTTCAGTGGGCAACCAGTCTTGGGCTACAGGGTGATATGGCTGCTGGCTCAAATGCTCACATTCGATGGCATCTGGTACTTTGGAGAGGTGTTCTCTTCACAAATGAATCATGGTTTTCACTGTACAGGGCAGGTGGCAGACAGCGTGTATGGCGTTGTGTGGGTGAGCAGTTTTCTGTGTCAACGTTGTGGATCGAGTAACCCTTGGTGGCAGTGGGGTTATGGAATGGGCAGGCATATGTTGTGGACAATGAACACAGGTGCATTTTTTGATGGCATTTTGAATGCACAGAGATACCGTGACAAAATTGTTGTGCCATTCATCCACGATGTTCACCTCATGTTGCAGCATGATAATGCATGGCGCCATGTTGCAAGGATCTGTACACAATTCCTGGAAGATGAAAATATCCCAGTACGGACGCACGCTTCAATCTGTTGCGGAGAGACTCTCTATATTTGTTATGGTGAAATCATAAAACCTATGCACAAAAAAACATGTCCCTGCTTGATATACAACTACTAATAAACAATCGGTTTTGATGAGGGAAAAAACTATACTTAGTGCGGATAAACTCGAGTACCCATAAACTCTGTCACAATTAGCCACGCACTTCCTTGGTGATTACGGACTCAATTTCCCATTATGCATCTCCCTGGACTGATTACAGCATACACCTGCACTGTGCTGATTACACACACACCTACACCTCATGTTCTAACATTATTTAAGCCACACTCACACAACTCTGGGCTAAGTCTTGTTTTGCTGCTGCAAACATTTCTAAGCATTTTTCCATGTGTTTACCTGCCTGTTCCTGATCTTCTGCTCGGTTCCTGTATCCTGTTTGTTTGCTGCCTGCCCTGATATCCTGCCTGTTTTTTGACCACAATTTTGCCTGATCTTCTCTGTTGAGTTTGCTGTTGTATGACCCTGGCCTGGTGACTACTCTGTTTAATAAAGACAAGCTGCATTTGGATCTGAATGACTCCTATGCTTCATAACAGAAGACTTAGCCAAAAGATGGATCCAGCAGCCATGCCACCCCTGTGCCCAGATGTTCAGATCTTGTGTCTTCGTCAAGGAGATCGTCCGATCGAGGACTTGGTAAGAGACTTTCTGGAGCTGGCTCATCTCACTCGTATGGACGATTTATGTTTAGCGATCATTTTCCGCGGGGATTTATCTAAACCGATTCGGTCGTTGATGCCCGACCATGATCCTCATGGGACGGTACACCAGTATATCGACCTGGCCCTTTTGCTGAGCGGTTCAGCTTTTACTGTGGGCTTGGCGGATGAAGAACCTGCAGTACCCCCTAAGCCTAAATTCCTTCATGTCAGTTCCGCTGAGACTGACCTGCCGGAGCTTATTCCTGCCGAGCCCTCATTTCACATCAGCCACGTCCAGCCAGAGCTTCACGTCAGCCACGCCCAGCCAGAGGCTGTTGTGCACGTCACGTCTGCCGAGTCAGAGACGCTTCACGCCACTTCTACAGAGCCAGTGTCTACGGACAAGATGGCCAATCCAGAGTCTGTTCATGTCACTTCCTCCGAGCCAGTGTCTACGTACAAGATGGCCGATCGACAGTCTGTTCACGTAACTTCTGCTGAGCCAATGTCTACGGACAAGATGGCCGATCCAGAGTCTGTTCACGTCACTTTTGCCGAGCCAGAGAAGCTTCACGTCACTTCTACAGAGCCAGTGTCTACAGACAAGATGGCCGATCAAGAGTCTGTTCACGTTCCTTTTGACTACTACTGTTCCTGAGCCCGAGCCAGCGTCTGTTCCTGAGGCCGAGCCAGCGGCTGTTCCTGAGGCCGAGCCAGCGACTGTTCCTGAGCCAGAGCCAACGTCTGTTCCTGTGTTTGTGTCTGTCCTTGTGGCTGTTTCTGTTCTAGTATCTGCTGTTCCTGAGCTGTTGTCTGCTGTTCCTGAGCTGGTGTCTCCCGAGGGGTCGTCACCGCCACGGCCGCTGGTAGTCCTGCTCCACCTTGGTCGTCTGCAGATCCTGCTCCGCCCTGGCGACACGCTTGTCAAAAGTTCTATCACTGGATTATTAAAGTACATGGGGATAGTAGACAGATCTATGTATTTAATCACGTGAAAATTCTCACCACTAACAACATATATTAGATCTCATTAACTGACAATTAATAGTGTACAGATAGTATAAAGTGTTACCAGAATTTCAAGATGTTTGAAAACTGGAGCCCTGGGAACTTAAAATAAAACTGCACTTTGTAATTTCTGTCTGTTTATTACCAAGTCATTTGTCAGTATTGCAGGCAAAATGGAAAATGTGAATAACTGCATTTCCAGTTCATTTAAAGTGTGCCCCTACATTTTCTGCCTGTTCCCCTAAAATTTTCAGTAAGGGACTACATTGCTCCCAGTAAAAAAAAGCCAATCTAACATTAACAAACATGAATCAATTCTGTAAAAAATGTATTGTTAATGTTAGCCAATGCATTGACTGATGTTAACTAATGGTATTGTAAAGAGTACTCAAAAAATGATTGTTTTTCTTGTTTTACATCAATTTAAAACTAAGTGTAATAATATTATTATATTAAGTATTTAATATACTGTATTTAATAATGTAAATGTATTATAGTACAGTATATATACGGTATACAAACATTTTTAATTTGATCTTCATGAAGGGGTATGTATGTGATTATTATTGATGTGGCTTAGGATATATGGGTGTTTTCACACTAATCAGTTTGTGACACCAACCTTATCACACTGTGGTACCCAACCTTGGACTACCTTTAGGAGGGGATCTGAGTTCAGATGCACTGGAACTATGGTGCGATTCCAGTGAATATGAAAGTATATGAAATAATGTAGGTGGTCATGATTTATCTTGGATAAGAGTGAGCGTGAGCATGCAGTGTTGTCATGCATAATAAGTGCAAGCTGAGTAGCAAATGAATGGCTCATTATCAGCTGTCTCAAAAGTGTCAGTTTGCTAGCAAGAGAAAGCTGCCTCCATGCGACACACATACAGTAGATACAAATGTTCACTCTACTTTTCATAATACCACCAAAAAAAACCCCCACACAGTATATTGAACTGTGCTCGTTTGTGATGAATGCTAATGAACCAGTGTTCGATAAATTCCGATTTGGACCACTGCAAACAAGGCCAGTTTGAAAATCCCCTAAGACAGACATGTTTTTTGTAGAATATTTCTGCAAGGAGTAGTCTTGCGAAGTAAACAGAGAATTTCACTGTTTCTTTTCACAGTGTAGGTCACAATGAGGTCATTGGTGTGTGCCGAGTAGGTAATGATGCCGAGGGTTTGGGAAGAGAACACTGGAATGAAATGCTGACTTACCCACGCAAACCCATCGCACACTGGCATCCTCTCATCGAGGTAAGAACACATGGACATCCTCGAATTTAATACTTATTTGTGCAACAGGCCTAATATACCAGGCATGAAAGTGAATGTCCCAAATACAGAATTCCAATTTTAAATATGAAATTATAAAAACTGTGATTTGTTTGATATTCTGTTTAAATCCCTTGTATAGTTTTACAAAGACAGCAGGTATCTTTTCAATGTACTGTATATAACTTTTTCATTGGGTGCATGTTTTTTTTTTTTTTTTTTTTTTTTTTTAACAAAGAAATTAAATCTTCCAGATAACGTAAATGTAGACTTTTATATGGCAAATACTTTGGATTTTGCTGCAGGGTAGGGCTGGGAATCGATTCCAAAAAGAATCGATTCCGAGGCGTTAGGAATTGAGAGTCGATTCCAAAGGTTGGAAACGATTCCATTAACGGGAATCGACTCCTCCTTTGAGATTTTTTTTTAACACAAACCGCAGCCTGTCACCAATTTCATTTGTCAACACAATCTCGGCACCTGTAAGTAAATAAAGTTCAGACTAAATAAATGGATCCATTCTTGACACAGAGTATGATTTAGGGCAATCAGTGTAATGACTGACTCAATGAAATCTTTAGAATCGGTTCCAGGGTTTTATCTTACTCGTTGTAATTTAGGACAAGTAATAAATCTGATTTATGAAATCAGTCGACAGAAATCAATCGCACTCACGCGATGAAGAATGCCTCCAAGCAGTAGCGGTTCTAGGCACGGGCGAACCGGGCAGTCGCCCGGGGCGGCATTTCTTCATGTTACATGGGGGGCGGCACGAGCAGTTAAAAAAAATCCTCTGTGCCGCGAAGTTTTTCTATTTTTTATCATTTCGATTCAATTATTGGCAATGGCGCCCTGCTTGCTGAGAAGGTGCCGTGCGCAGAAGCGAGGGGATCAAGGGGATCTCCTGATTAGTTCACGTATCGGTCGTTATTTCAAATCCTCTGTTTCAAATAGGCGCACGGGAAGCGTGCTCATAAACTTTTCAGTATGGGAGTGCACGTGCACCCAAACACTTGGGTGTTTTTTTTTCTCTTCTCCATAAATAAATCTTTTAGCAGAGCTACAGCAAGCGTTTTTCTGTGGTGGAAATACATTAGCTACTAAAACTTCTTTGTCGCTGGAGAGCGCAGTGTAATGAGTGCATGGTTCTCTTACGAGAGGTTCTCTCGTATTGCGTAAGCTAGCTTACGCTACGGGAAAGATTCATCTTTGCTGAGAAGTTGAAGCCAAAAAATTATTCCAGAATTTTGTAATCATTGTCAACGCAGTCTCTTCTGAGGCAGACCATGAGCGGGCTAGCTAGCGGCTCATTGGTTCGCTCAGAGAGAATGCACGAACCTATGGGAGAGCGGCGCTGAGTCCGCGGCCAATGAGCGGACGGCGCTCGCTCACTGCGTCACAGCCCGCCAAAAGGGGCGTGGCTACAGTGTATAAAGGTCGCTCTCCCAGCTCGTTCGTTGATTCTTTTTCATTCAGCGAGCTACACGCATCCGCTGTCCTGGGAAGAAGCCACCGTTGTCGAGAAGGCACCTTCTAGCGAGCTCCGGAGTCTGAGGAAGCCGGCCGTCTGCCACCTTCAGCCGCCCAGCAAGCTAGCGCCATCCGACGCGTATCCTTTTATATTCCATTCTAAAAGAGCATGAGCGTCTTTTTAAAGATGCCTCGTAATTCCTGCGGCTCATGCCGCTCTCCGCTCGAGGATGGAGACCGCCACCCCATCTGCGCTCTCTGTCTCGGAGTGGAACACGCAGAGCTCGCCCTCGCCAACGGAGGATGCGACCACTGCGAGGACCTGCCTCTGTCATCCCTGCGGGCTCGACTACAGGCGGTCAAAACCGCTCCAGCGCCGCCTCTCACTTCGCCGCGGAAGAAGAAACGCCGCTCCCAGAGGCCGCCGGAGCCCTCTGCGGATCCATGTGGGCCGCCGCCGCCGCCCACCGACCACTCTCCCTCTCCGCCCCTGCCGGACTTACAGTTGCCGCCGAGTGGCCGCTCTGTCGCCTCCGATGACACCGCGGATGAGAAGGACTCTTGTTCGCTGCACGCTTCTGACAGCTAGGAGTGGTCGTCGAGGCTCATCGACGAGAGAGTCTGCGGGGACCCGCGCCGGCATCGAAGAGGAACTAACGCGCCTCCTTTCACAGGCCGTTAGCCGCCTGGGTCTCGAGTGGTCTCCTCCCCCTGAGCAACCACCGAACCGCATGGATGGGAAGTTCCTGCACCGGCGCCCGGCCCCAGCCTGCAGCCGGGCTGCACCATTCCTGCCTGAGTTACACAGCGAGCTCACGAAATCCTGGAATGCTCCTCTTTCGGCTCGTAATCGCTCCGATGTGTCCGCTTCGCTGCGCTCAGTGGACGGAGCCGCCGAGAAGGGTTATACTGCCATGCCGCCCGTCGAGGACTCGGTCGCCGCTCATCTCTGCCCGCCCTCTGCTAGATGGCGTTCTTCCCATACGCTTCCCTCTAAAGCGTGCAGAGCGACCTCAAACTTCCATGCCCGCGCCTATTCCGCCGCCGGTCCGGCCGCTTCAGCGCTGCATTCGATGTCTGTCCTCCAGGTGCTCCAGAGCGACATCTTGTGCGAAATGGCGAGCAGCGGGAGGCACCCGCCCGTCCTTTCGGATCTGAGGAGCGCTACGGATCTTTCCCTTCGCGCCACTAAAGCCGCCGCACAAGCCCTGGGGAGATGCATGGCCGCCCTCTGTGTTGCCGAGAGACACTTATTCATTGGGAATTCATGTTAATGAGGCGTGCGCGAGCGATCGGTTGTTTGTGTTTGTAGCTCCGGAGAATTTCTTCACAAATCCTTGATTTTCTTCTTTACCACTTATTTATAAACAAGCACTTTCTATTTTTATATTATGTGAACTTATCCTCGATAGTATTCCTTATAAAAAACAATTGGATTGCTTTGATATCGCTACTTATATCCAACCTCCCTAAATCCTGGCTACTAGCCTTTAGCCCGCTAGCATTCCACGCGTGCCCTCTCGCCTATTTGATCGTCTCATTTTACACCCGTTTCACTGAATCCTGGTTATTTCCGACATTTCAATCCTAAATTAGTAGTGATAGTTGTAGTATCACTACTAATTTACTGATCATCCGTTATATGGCGAACATATCAGATGCGTGTCTAACATTACCTTTGAGTGCAGATGAAGACACATTCGAGCTCTTCACGGTGAAGCAGGAGCTGGAATACGTCGAGAAACAGATCCGCGGTCTGCTGGTGAAGCAAGCCGAGCTGCTGGATCGGCGCTCAACGCTTGAAGCATCACGCGCCGACGCTAACAAATCAAATCACTCTTTGACTCCGAGTTCATCTACGCCGTACGTTACTCTGCCGAGGAAGATGCGATCATCTAAGGCTTCATTCACTCCGGCACCGAAACAACATGGACCATGGATCACACAGCGGAAGACTCGAGCCAGGACTAGAGCTGCCTCTCCGCCCCTCCCGGTCTTCGAGATCTCCACCCGGAACCGCTTCTCCCCTCTTCGCGAGCCGGAACGCGATGACGCCGTGATCATCGGCACATCCATAGTCCGCCATGTCCGCGCTAATTCGGATAAAGGTAAAGTGCGCACTCACTGCTTTCCTGGTGCTCGTGTTCTTGATGTTGCTGCACAGGTTCCCGAGATCCTGAACGGGGACGAGCGCGTCGGAGCTGTTGTGCTGCACGCGGGAGCGAACGACATCAGGCTGCGGCAGACGGAGGTTCTGAAGAAGGACTACAGGAGCCTGATCGAGACGGTACGCAGCACAGCGCCTAAAGCAGCGATCATCGTGTCTGGACCGCTTCCCACGTACAGACAAGGACAGGAAAGGTTCAGTAGACTTTTTGCATTAAATGAATGGTTAATGTCATTGTGTAATGAACAGGGGCTGCACTTTGTAAATAACTGGCATCTGTTTTGGGAAAGACCGAGACTGTACAGCACAGATGGTCTCCATCCCAGCCGAATCGGAGCCGCTGTGCTGTCGGACAACATTTCCAAGACATTACGCACCAGATGACTAATGAGTCAAAGTCCAAATTACAGCCTTTGCGGTCCAAACTTAACTAATAAGCATAGTGTGGAACATTATATAGAAACTGTGTCTATTCCTCGTTTAGTGAAGCCAAACAATAAATCTAGTGTAGGATCTAGCAAAAATCTTATTGTAATTAAACCAGAAAATCTAAATATCAGTCAACAAAAACAATTTCTAAAGCTAGGTCTCCTAAACATTAGATCGCTCACACCTAAGGCGGTTATTGTAAATGAAATGGTCACAGATAATAACTTCGATGTTCTGTGCCTTACTGAAACCTGGCTTAAACCAAATGAGTATTTCGGTCTAAACGAATCTACTCCGCCAGGATACTGTTATAAACATGAGCCTCGTCTGATCGGTCGTGGCGGCGGTGTTGCAACAATCTATAAAGATATTTTTAATATTACTCAGAAAACAGGTCACAGGTTTAATTCATTTGAAGTACTTGTGCTAAATGTTACGCTCTTAGATGTACGAAGGAAATCTATATTATCTCTAGCCCTGGCTACTGTATATAGACCTCCAGGGCCATATGCTGAATTCCTAAAAGAGTTCGCAGACTTTCTCTCGGATCTATTGGTAAATGTCGATAAAGCAATAATTGCTGGAGATTTTAACATACACGTAGATAATACAAATGATGCTTTAGGGGCTGCGTTTACAGATTTATTAAACTCCTTTGGGGTCAAACAAAACGTCAGTGGTCCCACTCATCGTCTAAATCATACACTAGATTTAATTATATCATATGGAACCGATCCAACTGATATAGATATTATACCGCAAAGCGATGATGTCACTGATCATTACATGGTGACTTGCATAATACGTACTGCTGAAATATGTCATGTTGTGCCACGTTATAGACCAGGCAGAACAATCCTTCCAACCACTATAGATGGATTTTCAAATAGCTTACCTGATCTATCTAAGCTGCAAA